TTTATTTATTTATTTATTTATTTATTTATTTATTTATTTATTTATTTATTTATTTATTTATTCTGTCAATTGTACTCTGTGCACATTGATTCGTTGGCATGGTGTGGGTACGTTGTGACGGTTAACAGTAAAATAATATCATTGTTTGCAGGAGGATTTTGCAGACGACCTTGATTATTGGATAGGTGGTTACGGTGGATTAGCGTTTGTCTACATACTGTTAACCGTAGCTGCAAATTCAACCCACATTCTGTCTTCTGTGATTGCGGCCAAACGTATCCATATCTCACTGCTAAATAATATTGTATTTGCCCCAATGAGGTTCTTCGACATTACTCCTGTTGGTCGCATCTTAAACAGATTTTCGAATGACACACAGATAATAGACCAGGTAAGTGTAGAAATGTACAAACGAGGCGTTTCCATGAGCGTTAATTGGTGACATGAAAACCACTCAAAGCGTCGATATTGTCTTGATTTATAGTCGACCATCAGTAAATATATTCTACATGACACAGTTTAATTTGCATGACATTACTTTTACCCATATACGTTATTTTGACGTCACAATGGTGTATTTATGAATCGCCATTTCCCGTAACTTTAATTCATACTGCACCATCGCTAAATAAGCACGTGGTCGGCAACCGTATTTACTGTCTTGTAAATACTCGCAATTAATATTTGTTTGTTTTTTCAAACAGAAAATTTGGCAAAATATAAATGGAGTGATTACTACAGTATTCCAAGTATTCGCCGCCCTTATAGTCAATGCATTGGTTACACCTATATTCCTGGCATTTGTGGTTCCCATGCTTGTCGTATATTATTTTATACAAAGTTACTTCATTTCCACTTCAAGGTAAGTTACCAAAACATAATTTAGCTAGACACTATGTTGTGTGTTTTCCAAATAAATGCATTTATCATACTATAAGCCCTGTCATCATTTGTGTTACAGGGAACTTCAGCGTCTGGACAGTATAACAAAGTCGCCAGTATTCGCACACTTCTCTGAAACGTTGGGCGGATTGTCTACCGTGAGGGGTTACAGGTAAAGAATCTTTATGAACTGTTATGTAATTGTCTGTAATTAATTATGAATTATTTTAATAATTATTTACAGGTAAGAAAGAAGTATTGTGTTTCATTAATCACCACATAATGTACACAAATATTCAATCTAATGTGATTAGATAAAATGAATGTTAATTAAAATGTTATAACGTTTCTATTTTAAAGGGACGAGCGAAGATTTCGTCGACGTCTTGTTGACAGAATAGATAGAAATAACATCGCTTTTCTTTTTTTGGTCACTGTCAATCGATGGTTAGCAATTAGATTAGTAAGTATTTGCACACCATTCCAATAAAGGTTTAACATGTAACATTACGAAATATGCAAATTACAATTTGACGTGTCCATTGCAGGATTTAGTCGGTGGACTGATTGTTGTAGTGTCTGGAATTGGTACTCTGATAGCCACGTCACTGGGCAGTATTTCCCCAAGCTTGGTTGGATTGGCACTTTCATATGCTCTACAGGTAATGTTGAATATACGTTTGTCAATGTGATGATTATTGATTATCATTGATTAACTTAGAGCACAAGTTGTTTCCATTAGAAATACCGTATTTACAAACACCTGTGAATGTAATTATGAACTTGTTGATTCACGCATATACTCTTTCTAAGATCTACGATTTACGTCTGTCATCAAATATTTTACTTGGCAGACATCCGGTTATCTTAATTGGTTGATTCGTCAAGTTGCTGACTGTGAAATGCAAATGAATGCAGTGGAACGTGTTGAACATTACACGCACATCTCAAATGAAACTTACAAAGGTGTGTAATCTCATTTGATCAGTATACTTCTATAGTTTCATATTTTGAAGACTATACCGACAATGCTATTGTTTTGTGTGTAGGATGATTGGAAGTGCGTTTGAAGGCAAATTTAAAACATCTTAATTTGATTTGTGAAAACTGCCTTTTGTTGCTATGGTCCATGAAGGGATGCTAGCACATCATAAAATTGTATCTTTGTCCATTAAAAACCGTTGACTATATAATCTTCTATATTCTCTTTGACAGGAACCCTCGAACCTCCATTGGAGTGGCCTGATAATGGCGATGTTAAGCTCCATAACGTGTCTGCTCGATATGCTGTTGACTTAGAACCAGTTTTACACGATATCACGGTGCATTTCAAGTCTGGGGAAAAGGTAAGTTGACGAATGTGTTGACTGGAACAGCAGGTATGAGACAGTTATTAGTATTTTTCATATCACAAAGTGGTTTACATTTACGTACATGTTATCTATGTCATTTCAGATTGGTGTATGTGGTCGCACCGGAAGTGGAAAGTCTTCTCTTACTCTGGCCTTGTTTAGGGTAATTGATACATTTAAAGGTAACCCCAACATGTATGATGTAATTTATAGTATTTGTATATATAGCCTAAATCTGATGTTGAGCTGAAAGCATTGATGACATGTGAATTCATTGTTGTTTATATATTCCATATAGGCACGATTACAATCGATGGCATTGACATATCCCAAGTTCCGTTATTGACTCTTCGTAACAGAATTGCTATTATACCACAAGATCCTGTGTTGTTTTCTGGCACTATCAGGTAATATAACATAATGTAGTATAACATACATATAATATCTATTAAAAATAGTATATATTCACCGCTGAACAAATATTGAAAAATACATGCAATAAAAACAATGAATAACATATTTTGGTTGGCACGTTGTATCTCGTCTCTTAAGACCAACCAAAATCACTTATTAGTGACATAAGTTAGTACCATTAGTTATTTTTACGTATACTTTGTCTACGCACAGATTCAATCTCGATCCACTGGAACAAATAGCAGATGAAAAATTGTGGGAAGCTCTGGAAATCGCTCAGCTGAAGCTTATAGTTCTTGATCTGGATGACCAATTAGGTAAACACCATGTGTGGGGAGACATCACGACGTCCGATTTTTTACCCCGTGTGTCAAGCATACAATGGAGTCTGTGATTAGTGCGTCTGTGTGTATGTGTTTCCGTTGCACCTGATATCTCAAGAATCACTTATCCGATTTTAATAAAACTTAGCACATAGATACGTTGGGGTAATGCTCAGACCTGATTAGTTTTTGGTTAAAAGCCATGCAGAGTAATTACCTAATCTGCATATTAATTAGCGAATTTTAAGCATTTTAACTTGTTTCTCATTCAACAGATTTCAATGAAACTTGATTGCATAGATGCTCTGGGATATTACGCAGATCTTATTAGTTTTTTGGTTGCAATCCATACATATTAATGACATAATTTGCCTATTAATTGTCTACTTAGTATAAATAGTGTCCTTTTTAATATGCATAACTGTAATGTTCTAAGCAATGATGCAGATAGTGCTATAATGAAGGTCTCTGACAATGTTATATGAATAATCTATCAAATGACAATATATAATAATGTGCATAACTGTAATGTCCTAAGTATTGTAAACAATTGAGATAGAGACATGCAAATAATCATTGCTTGAAGTTATGTATAAATCCTGTATCTACTCTATTAGAAGCACGTGTGCTTACTGTAAGTATATATGACAAAGACAAGTCCATGGTCAAAATAAGACATGTATCAATGATTTTGCATGCAATAAACACAATATTTTGGCTATATGTGTATTGAAGATTACTTCTAATATAGTAAATACGGTATTTCTTATTTGTACTTGCCTCCAATACCTTCAGCACACGGGAGTTCTTTTCTAAACTTTCTTTGATTCGTAATGAAGAATGTAGGAATAAGATAAGTTAACGTTCCTGGTTACCGAACGGTGTCATGATATTAAACTGTTGAAAATATTTACTGGAATGGACAAAAACATTTCTTTTTATGGAAATATGTAAAACGTATTGGTCCACAAAATAATTACTTCTATTTTTTACTTGAAATGTTTATGTTGTATTCTGGATTGCACATTAAGATATCAATTAGACATGGTGGTATTTCTAATTGATTTCAAGTGTAATAATTCTGCCACACCCCGATCTTTATTATAATATAACTTACGTCATGTTTGACGTCACAGATGCTGAAGTGTCTGAAGGCGGCGAAAACTTCAGTGTTGGTCAACGACAGTTATTTTGTTTGGCCAGAGCTTTTCTCCGAAATGCCCGGATTCTTATAATGGACGAAGCAACAGCATCTATCGATATGAAGACGGTAAGTGCCAAACTTTTATAAACTATTATTGTTTATAAATGTAGATAAAAAAAACAAAAACAATATTTTTTGTTTGCTTTTTTTTCTAGGATTCTATTCTGCAAAATGTTGTAGCGACTTCGTTTACCAATATAACTGTCATTACCATAGCGGTGAGTACCAATATATCCCTGTTTGTTTGGTGTGTAAATCGTTGAAGTGACACAGTTGCCACGCAGAGGGTGTTTGAATGTTGTGTAAATTACAATACACGTTTAACGCGTTGCTTACATAGCTTGGAACCTATGCGACGCGCCCTGACCCCTGTGATGGTTTAACACAGCCTTCTGTATAATATCAACGTATTATTTAGAATGTTCTGACACATTATTATCGTATATATTATTAATAACAACAACCCATAGCAGAACCATTTGGTGTGTAGTGGTGGAGTTATCGTCACTAATGTACCATTTTAGCGTGTCGTGAATGCGCTCTTAATAGTTCTTATATTTCCTATTGATGTGTACAATTCTTCGGCAAAATTGTCTATTTTATTAATGTCTTTAATTGGATACATTTTATATTTCAGCATCGCGTTGCTACAATCATGGATTCAGACACTATACTCGTGTTGAGTGATGGCAAAATAGTGGAATACGACACGCCTGCAAATCTAATGAAAATCGAGGGAAGTTTATTTGCGTCATTAGTGAAGGGAAAGAAATGAACACCTACATAATCGACCCTGTGAACTCTAGATGTATGTGACGGTCAAGTGCAGTAACAATAAAACAACTTACAAACATTGTAATGAATACTATCAGCTTACTAATACTATTACATGTTTAATTGTATCTAAGAATATACCCGAGGTGATTCCCGGATGTAATGTCTTTTCTACGGATGAACATTTGTATGTCATATCAAAATGTTGATTCATTGTCAAAACGTACACACACATAGCCAACAACAACATTCGAGATACTGGTTGCAGAAAACATTACAGGTTGTGACTATGATCAAATTATCACATCGCTTACAAAAATATTTCGTGAGGTTGAAAGCAAGCTGTCAAAATTAGTCCAAAAATTTCGTATTTCATATTTTCAAAATATTCTAAAAAGTATATTCCGTACATATGGGTGAGTGTCGAATTTGGGTATTTGTTAGTCATTGTTCTCATATAGTTTGCCTAATTATATTGTGACAAGTGTACCTTATACGCGAGATCTGCATATTCATGATTAACTTATGAATATTCATGATGAACCATTGTTTGAGCTCCTCGTTCGAAACTATTCTTTGTGTTTTTTATGGCAGGGGTGAGGGTCTGATGAGAATTTTTTCTTATTTTTTTTTTGTGTTGAATTTTTTCTTATTTTTTTTGTGTTGTACCAAAAGTCTGTATTACAGTCGAGTGGAAAACACAAGTGTAATTGTATGCAGTTAGATACTGATATGATATGAAGTACGAATCAAATAAATTTAAATTAAAACATAAAATGCTATTAATGTCCCTTTATTGTTACTTTGCATGTATGGATGAATAAATAAAGAAGACATGTTTATGAGGAAGAATTCTGTCCTTCAGTTTTTGTTTTAAACTTTTGTTTCTCGTGGTTTCCTATTACTTCCAATTACAATTTTAGTGAGACTATTTTTCAAGATGTATACTAGTATATGAAAATAGAGCTAAAATAAATAAAAAAAAATAAGCATGACTTTCTCCTCATAAAGATCAGGAATGTTATATGCCCAGATCAGATTGAAACTTAAGTACTAGATATAATCAGAATATATGACATTGTATAGCAGAAACAACCCGAATTGTGACACCTAAAACAACGACAAAATAGTTGTACATGTATATGGTGTCACAATCTTATTTCAGATTTGATTTAAAAGCGTGTAGAAATTGTAACAAAGCGTGTAACATGTGCGACATTGCAGGTATAGGATTTCTGCATTTAATCGTATTTTATTTAATTTCACATGATATGCATTGTTATATTCCATTTTATATTTGATTTTACTTTGCGTTATGTCCTGATCAAGTTTGCAATTTTACGTTTATTTTCACCCGTAAGTCGCGCTTGCACACAGCTCCTTAGCAGGGGCTAAGAGGTCAAAAACTTGTATTCTGTGTCTATTTGGGAAATTGGCTTTTATAACTGTTCATTTTTGGTATGCAATGAAAATCAACGTGAGCACATTTTGAGACATTATTCTCGAGAAAAAAAAATAACATAACTAACATGTATAAGTAATCTGGTTACTATACCGAGTAATCGGGTAGCGGTTAAGTCGCACCTAAACTAACTAACCCGAATATACACATAATTTTTTTTTATTTCATTGCTAAGAATTAGTTGTACATTTGTTTCATACTATAATTTCCATTTTTATTCTGCAATACCAATAAGCTCATCACTAAGCAGTATAACAAGAATGTATGATGCAAGGCCCATTCTATATATGGGGGCATTATCAGAGCATGGGTCTTATTTAGGGACTGCCAGAGCAACTGCACAAACCACGAGGACAAATTAACATCTCGTAGGAGTGGTATTTCTATTTTAACACCAGTTGTTCATGACACATAAAACATTAATTATCAAATCCGATGAAAGAACCAGTTACCGTGATAAAGCCCTACTCACTACCAAAGCCACCCACGGCGAAACTAATCACAGCAAAGTAGACTGGCCCAGTCTGGGTGATTTATTTCTTTTTAAATTTAAAATTAAATAAAAAAAATAGCGAAATGGGGGTGTTAACGCGAAATCTCCTGTAACCGCGAAATGTGGTGTTTTCGCGTTCACCCAACCGCAAACTATTAGTGTTATGGTAATTTCTTGTAGTCGAGGTTTATCTTAGCTATGAGTCAGCGGTTTTGCTGTGCATGTCGTCACATCGAAATACTATTCAAATAGCAGACATCTCATACAACCACCGCTGTAATTTTTTACAGGTTGAAAGATTCGCGTCCACGGTCACGTTGAACATACACGTTCCGCCGTGACTAGACACAATATGCTTCTAGCATCGTGGTTCTGTGGAGGAACAAACGGTACAGCCGAAAGTGACGCAAGGGAATTTGCCTGGGACCATGAAAGCACCATTCACAGTGCATGTTTTGTTGACCTCGTCAATGCGGCGATTAATCTGTTCTACCTGGTGGCGGCGTCTATTGTCCTCATAGTATTGTCTTGTTTCACAAACTTACGTCACTACTTCTCAAATATATTGTTACAGTTTCCTGGACACGACGTACGATGGACTCTGTCGATTGTTCTTTGGTTTGTTCTGTTGTGTGCACTAGGAGAGGGAATTCTAACAGATTTATCGAGAGATGGACCGACACAGCCTCACCTGTATATACCACAAGCTTTGGCATTTCTTAACGGGTTTATATTCCTAGTTTATTACCATCACATGGAATATTGGAATCGACCACATCTAGTCTGGTTATTACTGCTATATTGGATTCTGTTAATTGGTGGCCAGGTTATCACTCTAATCAACTTGGATTACCAAGGAGCAACTGGTTTAGAAGTTCTACGTTTTGATATAGCTATCGTGTTACTGGCATTGTACTTTACTTACGTATTAATTTGAACTCAATGTAATCAGGACTAAGGTAAGGTCTGAATACTTATGCGTTGCCGTATAGCCCTTAGTTGTTTATCACTTTTATCTCTTGATTTTACCCTGTGTAATTTAATCATTATTTGATGGCAACCTATTGTTCAAATTACAACTTTTCGCTGGAGCAGTGGGAAACAACCAAAGTGATTATTACCACCAAGGGGCGGGGGTCACATAACGTTGACGAGCTTTTTATAGATCAATATAAGACAGACCCCTTACGTATTTGTACGCGTATTCATGTTATTTTTGACAAACAAGTACAACGCCTCTTTATTTGCGCAGATAAAGGTCACACAGTGAGATCATTGTTCAAAATATCTTAGCGGTTAGGTCGGTAAGCTAGCCAGCACAGATACATATCACAGAGGTCAAATTACAGTCCTTCTACTGTGGTCAAATGTTACCAAATGTAATATGCGGATAGTGATTACTATTTTCTTCACTCATGCAATCATAATTCTGTTTCAGATATTCAGATGGTGTTACATTGAAGAATATTTACCACGGGACACCAAGAAAAAGAATCTCCTTTTCATTCACGAGTATACAAGTTTACTTTCACGTGCGTCTTTCCAGTGGCTTGGTTGGTTATTGAAAGTTGGATATAAACAACCACTGGAAATTGACGATCTCGGCGTTCTTCCGGAAAGTCACGGTGACAAACATCAGTACCAATGTTTCTTGAAAGCTTATGAGAAAGAGAAGGTTTGTTTATCTTAAAAAGTTTCGGGAAAGAAATTTAAAATATATTCATCTTCAATGATATTCGAAACTAGGTCACTTTAGTCGACTCGAATCAATGTCATGTTGACTTTGATGTGTTTACTTATACGTACGGCAAACGCAATTGTTGACACGTGGTTGAACTCCACGTGAACTTGAGTGAGTGTCAGTTAATGGATCATGATGTATCGATTAAGGTAGAGATGCAGTTTACCTGACAGGTATTTTAATTAGTTAATTAGGAAACCAAGATGACCTCCCTTGTCCACAAAACTATATATTTTCGGAAAGCTTATTGTATGAATTTTTAAAATTTGCTAGTATTGTTTTATGAATACTGTAGTAGAAATACGCATGTGCTTTTTTGGTCAGAAATGATTAAAAAAAAATGGCTTCTAAACCATGCTTCTGTTTCCTGTCAAAATTGGTTTATGGGTACATCTGTTTACTATGAAGAAAGTGCCGTCTTGGAAAGTGTCTACCAGTTGTCAATTTTGCAGGGCAGCAGCTCAAATTTCACTACTTCAAGTTTATGCATAAATTAACACCCAGGCTAGTTGTCTGTACGATTGTTGTAACACTGTTGCACCGACGGCGTTTTGAAGATAAACACATTGTTAATCATTTGTGAAAATTTCAAAACAAAAGGTCAAAGCGTCTAGGAGCTATTTTTTTTTTAAGTTCTGGGATGTGCACTAAAAAGAAGCTGAGATAATTGCTAATTTGCATAACAATTCACTCAGTAAGAAATTTGCTAATGCTCATAATTAAAATGGCTGTAACAGTTCCAAATTTAAATGTATTATCGTTTTGTTAAAAGTTAATTATAGTGCATAATATGGAGATTTCGTCATTTCTTATTTTTTCACCATGTTTCTTTTTTATTATTTATGTACAGCCTTGCTAAATCTTGCTAAGCACTGGTATTCAAAAGAGATAATGTTTGCACCTGTTATCTATATTTTAAAATTGTTTTTTGAGTATGTTCCACTATTCACAATTCTACAAAATGTTAACAGTCTATAGCCAAGACTGTTTGGATAATAAAAAGCAAAAAAAAAACATTTCACTCCTAAGTGCCCATATACCTGCATCTCTACCTTAAACATACATTCACAGTAATTAACTAAACAGCGCCATCACGCAGCGCGCGTTCGAATTCCATGTACTGTAAAATACTTTATTCAGAATTCAATTTCGCTATTTTCGCTGGTTGGTTCAGTGAAAATATATCCAGCGAATACACCGTTTTACTATATTTTACATTTAACTCATAACAAATAAGTGAAAATGAATTCCATACAAAACACCAAAAACAAAAATTAATAATTTAAGCTGTTCAAGTTGGCATAATCTTACAAACAATTTTTTTAGTAACAATTATACTATATCATAGTACTTTGTTAGGAGGACTGTGACTATATATTCAAATGCGGTTGACGTTGACCGTGTAAAATACAGCCTTAGGTCGACTTTACTGTCCACCTCATTACAAATCGAAATTATGGCTGACTGGGCAAAAACTAAAATGGTATTTATCTGTACGGCCATACTTGGGTGAAAATGAGCCAAGTAATTATGTTTATATCCACAAAACAACTGCCCTATATAATTAAAGCGGGGGAGTCATTACCTACGCATGCGTCAGGTGGCGATAGCGTGTCATTGTTTACAAACAATGAGCCTTTGCGTTTTTAGCATGTGTTGTTATCATCGCTTGGGACTCACTTCCCGCGCGTGCGCTGGTGACGACCCTCCTGCTTTATAAGGGAATTGCGCAATAGTGCATTTGGTGTCAGCGTTATTGAGGTCGTATTAATTGACGAG